AAATTAAGCAAAAATATTAAGTTTGCATTACTAAAAAATATTTACATAAATTATGCCAATGTCTCTCAAGAGATTAACTCTTCAATTTTACCAAACATGCATTTATATCACGTTTCATATAGTCTGATTAATAGCGAAAGGATTGAAGACGTACAGAATTCTAATTTTCACTGTGACGAGGATCAAAGCGAACGAGTCTGTTTTTCAAACTCTTATGAATCAGCGTTGTACAGTGATTAATCGTATGGGAATTCCTGACTCTAAAGTGGACTATAGAATGAATCAGAGTACGTTATGCTAAGATTGCGCGATTCCGTACCTTGTTTCGTGTCCTGTCGCGGGATCATCGACGCCGGGGCAGACATCGTACGCTTATAGGGCCACTTGGTGCCAAAACTCGCGCTCAGGGTCTTTATAGAATTGGTTCCACTACCGTCGGACTGTGACAGAGCTTCCTGGGCTCGGTGAAGTTTCTTCATGAAGCTCTCGCTGTTCATGTCCGTGTTTCGAAGATCTACAAACAAATTTATCAATAAATTGATATATTATAAATATATTTAATATACCAATATATTTTTTGTCCATTTAAATTGCTTCTTCCGTTTATTGTTTATGGGACTATTGAGACTATTTTTATATAATGCTTGTAGACTACAATTGGCTGTTGATCTTCAATGAAATTGAATCTGACCTCGTAAATAAGATATATCTCCGGATCTTTCCAAACGAATCTGCGCCTCTAAAAACAGAGTGTCGAAACGATTTAGGAAGAATTCCCATGTTAGAATGTGCCGATCGCTGAGACTGTTGTGCAATTGGTATAAAGATTGGAGTACCATTGGTCGATCCATTATTACCGTATCGAATTGAGTTTCCAAGCACAGGATTAGAGACTGAAATTAGAATGTTATAAACATTTTTCTTACTCTCATTGCCACGTCGTGAATGGTACCAAGGTACAACGTAGCTCTTTGAGCAACGTAAACGTTGCTATCGTCCATACTAGCTATGAGATAACAAAATGCGTTCGCTAGTGCAGCTTGGAGGCTCATGACGTTCCTCAGAGGAGTTGAGTCCATGAATCGGGCAATTAGCGTCACTCTCTCCACTGTTGAATTAGAGAATTAATCGATTTCGATAGATTTTTCATTTGTCAGAATTTAATATCCGTACCAGCGACGAAGCGAACTCGCCAATCGTCCGCATTGTGAAATTCTTCTTGAATGAGTCGCCAGAAAGTGTCGGTTCCACAAGGCAATGTCACGCAGTGAAGCAACAGTGGTACCGTCACTTGGGCTATGTGAGAGTGCTCAGAGTTCAGCAGTTCCCACATACTGCAGAGATAAAAGAAAACCAAATTAGAACAGAGTTGGGCACAATTAAACTGCGTTCTTACTTCTTAATTAGCAGATTTTCTTGACACCATATGAAGAATCCTTGGTGGTCCTTCACAGCCATGTTAAACGCGTCACCGTAAAGGCACATCACGTTCAGGCATTGAAGCATATAGTATAATATGTCAGGCTTGTTTATTGTCATTATCTCCTGGAAATGTGAAAAGTNGTTTCATTTTGCATAAAAATCCGCAGATTAATTATAATAAAATACGATTTATAAGTGATAGCTTACTTATGAGGATTAAGACATTTTACGAGTTTCATTTATACCTGTTTCAACAATACGTCGAGCATAAGAATGCAACAGGATAGGTTCAACTCTGCATTGGTCGTGAATTCCATGTGCCTAGACGATGGGGCTATATCGTCTGACAACGGCGTTGATTTCCCGGATTCATTTTCCACTACACAACCTGTTACACAATTTTATATACACATCAATGTGTATCTAAAATAATATTCTCATCGTAGTAATTTGCTGTATGTAAATCAGTTGATTATTTCGCATTAATCAAAGAAAACAAGAATTCGATTGATTAGAGGAAGTGTGTCCGTGTGTCGACTCACATATGGCGTTTCCTTCGTCGTCCTCTTTCTTGGTCCCCTTGCTGGGTTTCTGTTGAGATTCAGTGGAATTCATGGCGCCCATGACAGCCACCCCAGCGCCGAACATGGAGAACAATTGGCACATGGGAATGCTAATCTCCAACATGGTCAGCGTCTGCAACCAATTCAGCGCTTGCTCTTGAACCTTCGCGCAGGTGTTCACGAACCGCTTCGCCACGAAATTATACATCTTCTTCGCGTCGAACCCTAAAGGACTCATATCTCGATCCAGAATTTTGCTAGAATTATCAAACGAATGAATTAAGATCGATGATGATGAAGTGAGTGAATTGTGAATGAATAATTAATTTTCGAACGAGGATTAATTCTTTTGTTAATTGCATATAAAATAAGAATTGCACTTCAGCGTTCTCTTTCTGCAAATTATTTTTCAAATTCTAATAATGGAATCTGAAATTAAATTTTAATCGTGTGAAGTACCTTTAAAAGCTTGTGTATGTATTGAAGCTGCTCGGGTAGATCTTCGATAGTGAATCGAAACTTGCCAACGGAAGTGTGCCAGAAATCATCCGCTTCGTTCTCCGGACTGAGATTCAACGGTTCGTCGTCCTCCCCTATCAATCGTGCTTTCGCTACGCTCACTGTTGCCGTGGCTAGAATAAAATTTTCCAGATTCATTTCCCTCTTTCGGATTCAATAATCTTTATCTAAACCAACCGCAACAAATTTCATTAGAAAATTAATATAAAGATATTCGGTAATACAAGATTTTTCTGTGTTTAAGTAGTGTAGGTACATCATTAGTCAGACAGACTGATCATTGCTCCCAATTGATGAAATTGTTATTTTTTTCTGTCTCAGCTGGAATTGGTATTGATTAATGCAAATATTTAACGTGTCGGAAATATAATGAAAAAACGTGTACTATTATTTCTGAGGGGTAAAGGAAATTCCGATTTAGATTTCATTTGTTAAATTGAAAGTTTTACCTTGCATGAAAGGTGTAAAATTTACTTGAATTTCCTATTATGAATTTTCGTGCTTACCTACGTCAGTTTCCGAAAGGGTGACGGCTCTCGCGACGGCCGACATCACCTTCTCCGCAGGCATGATCGCGGCCAGGTCCAGCTGCTCCGAAACTGTCTCTACTGTTGCTGTCATGATCTGTTCGAAGAACTGATATAAACGATCAAAATAGCTAACTCTGGCCACATAGATTAGCCTACCGTATCCGTGGTTTTCGCACAACGCCATTTCGCAGTGGAAGAAGATAGACAGAGAGAGGCACACACAGTTTGCTTTTAAGTAGCATGCTACAGTTCTTTTTTTTTTAATTGTACTTGTTGTTGCGGAAAGTGTTTTTCGCACACAGATAGACAGGAGAAGAAAGACTGCTGTGTCTTTTAGGTGGGTGTAATCAGAACAGTCGTGTATATAGATATAGTATATAGAACATCTCAGACTTGTCTCAGAAAGCGGATGTCTGTGATCGTACCTGAGGCATGTGAGCGAGTACCCCGCCGACCGAATGAATTTCCGTTAACGGCATGTTGATCACTACGTCTGACTTCGAGTCCCCTTTTCTAGACGCCTCCGGACTTTTCCGACCGTGATCTTCCGATGTCTCGTCTACTACTTTCTGTGAAATTAAATTTATAATTATATACCGTAGATAAGAAGTATACAAGA